GACCCATCAAGAGGTTTCCAGGGTAGTTCATTCACTGGTTTTGGGAAGCTTTCAGGGTGTTTTTTTTACCTTTTTTGTTTCGCTCTTTACACGTTTTTACGGGTTTTCTTTTTTCAGTTTTTCTTCATTTTTCTGAATGAGTGAACTTTTTTCAACTTCAATATTTTTTTTGCAAATTTGTGAACTTTTTTATGTTTATGAACTTTCTTTTTCAAATTCATGATTTATTTTAAAATTGATGAACTTTTTGTGAATCCATGAAAGATTTTTTTCAAAATCGATGAACTTTTTTTCAGATCCGCGATTTTTTTTTAAAAAAAATCGTGTCCTTTTAAGATGAGGTTCAGTTGACGGGAGAGATCCTAAACATGCGGTTCAGCTTGATTGAGGTGTTGTAGGACGGTGCTTGGCAGTTGTTGGAGGAGATCCTAAACGTTGAACTTGCCCAGAACAACCGTGTAGAAGCTACGTTCCTCCTCGTAGGAGATGTTGAGGATTTTGAAGCCCTTGTTGAAGGGCATGGTGCTCCGTAGAGATGGATAACTATTGTTAGTACAAGTGACATCGAAGTCCTGGTAGGGATCAGAACTTCATGATCTACTTGTATCTCTATTGTAGGGCCAGAACGAATGGGAGATGCTGAGACGTTGCCACACTTCTGGGCGGAGCAGTCTCCCCCCTGATGCTCCTCGGCCACAACTAGCATCAATGGCAGCCACGACACCCCGACGAAGACCAAGAACCATCACCAGCTGGGAGACATCGGAGCAGAAGATTTGGAGCGATTGTGGTGAACGACAAAGGCTGGTAGTAGTAGTACCGTGGTCGAAGCTTGAGCCACCTATATGGTATGGTAAAGAGGAGTACAATTGGCGGGAACATTAGACTTGGAACTTCGAGCCGAGCGATCGTTGTGCAGGTAGTTTCCCAATAATGACCTCATGGACTAGTAAGCCATGTCTTCCGAAATTTGAGTGTGACGACTTTGACGGAGTCAGCTCCGCGAGTCAGTGATGTGACTGGAACCAGGATATTAAGTTCCGGCTACTTTGTGATCTTGTTTGCTGAGGAGTAGATTCTGGTATTTGTCCAACGTTCACACTTGCCACGTGACAGTATCCAATACAAAAATCAAAACTTCCCAACCAACTTCTCGGCCAACTTAGCTTTGAAAATTGTAACTTATCAATCAACTTAGAAATAACAAATCATGTGGAATGACTAGTTTTTTATTTGTTCAAATCAAATGAATTAAAACAGATTGTGTAGGGTTTTAGTCTTTAGAATTCTTCCCATAGGATTGGATTACTCCACAAAAAAAACTGCCACTCACCTTGTATCAAAATTCAAAAGCAATCCTTGAGCCGATTTTTATTTTTCATTGGAAAAGGAGGTCAAGCCATCTCTGTATCAATTGATCTATCCTAATAGAGAAACCCCTTTTTTCGTTGTAGCAAACATAGAGAAAACCCTAATATGTATACAATGTTAATGAAACATTGTTTATCACCTGGCCAAGTGTTTTTCGTTGTAGTAAACAATATGTTATGGCATTCAATGTTTATGTTCTTTTAGACAAATTTAATGTTTATGTGGTTACGTTTCAAGAGACCCCGAAACATTAAGGGCTTGGCGGCTCGGCCATGCCTTAAAACCCTGGTCACGAGTTTCACCAGACAACGGGTTTCTTTTGCAAGAACCCAGTAAACGGCTTTTTGCATCATTTCCTTGTAGGCCTGAAATCCCAATTTCGCTTTGAGTGGGAGGGAAGTGACGCTCTGCTAGAATAGCGGATGCAGTCGAGCGCCCAATTGATGGATTGTTTTATCTCATTTAAGTTATTTATGTTTATTTATTTTCCTTTGAGCTCATTTTCTATTTTTTCCATTTTACTTTAGTTTTTGTTATTTATTTTTTTGTTTGATTTTTTTATTTCATTGTTTTTACTTTTACTTATATATTTTTAAAGCATTATTGCCTTAATTTGCAAATTTCAGTTTTTTGTTTTATTTACTTTTTACATTACTATGGTGTAAACAAATGCTCATTTACAGGCATACTTCTTCTTAACAACATGAAAATGTGTTTTTGCAATACATGAATATTTATTTGTCAAATATAAAAACATCTCTTCTTACATCCATGAACATTTTTTATTATTCTTACCATTTTTCTGAAATATATTAATAATTTGAAACTAGTGCAAACATAGAATTACTTGCGATGTAAATATATTCATACATGAATATTCGATATTTTTTTCGTGGCATATCGACTGATTTTGGATATACCATATCATTCAAAAGAATTCCGACAAATATTTAAAAAAAATGTATGTATTATTTGGCTGCGCAACTGGCTGGCCCACTTCGCTGGCTGCCCAGACTATGCAAGCAGGCGCCAGAAAAAGGACTAAAGTCACCATATTTGGGTAAAAAATTGCCCCGGAAAAATGAATATAGGGTTAGGCCTAATTTTGAAAAGTCCATTTGCTGCTACTGGGCTGCCAGTGGATCAATGAACAAGCCCATGGTGCCAATGTTGGCCGTGCAGACTTGGGAAGTTCAGAGTTCTGAGTTTCTGACTAAACAGAAAGAAGTATATATAGAGTTCAGATTAGGCAGAGAGCTGAGAAGTTCAGAGTTCATATTAGGGAGTGTTTATAAGTCCAGAGTTCAGAGTTCAGACCAGAATCGATATTGGCTCTAGAAGCCACCTGTTGTTCTGTACCACACTCCAGTTCAACTTGTTAACGAACTTCTAATGACGCACAGGGGTACGTACCTACCGAGAGCACTAGTTTGCATGTTTGCCACACCCGTAGTTTCTGGGCGTCACACGTACTCCCTCCGTTCCAAAATAGATGACTCAACTTTATACTACCTTTAGTATAAAGTTGAGTCATCTATTTTGGAACGGAGGGAGTACTTACTACACAACAGGCAGTACTGAACGTCCTGGCTTAGCTACAGACTTGATTAAAAGATGAGTAGGCGGGTGAACTTACATGCGTCCGGTTGCCATGTCAAGAGGAAACCACCGCTGATGATATGCTCGTAGTCGCTCGCGTTCGCCTTGCTCGTCGAACTCATCACCGGGACGACGGTAGCATTGCAGCCCTCCAAAGCGTAGCCGGAGTAGTTCCCGGTCGGGTCGTGACACACTCCCGCGCGAACAAACATGTTGCTCGCGTTCACGCATCTCACCTTCACCATCGCCACCGTCTTCTTCGTGCAGATGTAGAAGATGAGGTTCAGGTTGGCAGGGCTGACCTTAAACGGAGGTGCCAGTTCGACGGAGGTGTTCCATGGCCAGAAATTATTGCAGCCGCTGGTGTAGTTCAAGTGCTTCACTTTGTATGAACCAACGACGCGCAAATTGCGTTCCTCGTAGGAGATGTCCATGATTGCAAAGTCAAAGCTCCAGAGAACTGGTATGCTTTCGTTTGAGCAACGGACCTCAAAAGGCAAGTGACCACACGATCTTCCCGTCTCCTTATCCCTGAGCCAGAACGGCTGTAAGATGGTGAGGTTGCCGCACGTCTTGGCCGAGCTTGAGCAGCCTTCCCCTAGCTGATCCTCAGGCCCGGCGAGCATCAGTGGGAGCCAACATACTACCCAGATGAACACCAAGAAGCAGCCGCTAGCAGTAGCCATGGGAACAGAAAGATATGGCCGTGGCTAGGTGTGGGGGAGGCGTATGAGAGG